TTTTTACTCACGAAAGCTCATGCTCAAATAAATCTGTTAGTCTTTAAGGTGCCACCAGACTCCCACAGGGCCTGTGTCCTTTTGGGGACAGACTGAGAGCAGCTGGGTCGCACCTCAGTTTTCCCAGCTGTAAACGGGGGAGAAGGAGCCTGAGCCCCTTTGGAAAGTGATGGGTGATCTGCAGCTGCTAAAACCTAGGGATTATGATTTATTGGCAGCATCCTTCTCCTCCCTAGCTGGCCCCTGACTGGCAGTTCTTTGGGGCCAGGGCTGTGCTCGCTCTGTGCCTGAGCCAGCTGCTCCACCGCCCTCCCGCTCTTGGCAAACAAATTAACTCCCTGATCTTCCAACCCCAAGCTTGCTCCAGCAACCCCAAAGCGCAGGGGCTGCTGCAAACTACATTGCCCACAAGCTCCTGCGGCTAGTTCCCCTGCCCTGTCAATCAAAGTAACGTGGGCCCTGCTCCCTCCTCAGCATCCCCACCCGAAGTGGCTGGATGGTATAATTACAGCACATTGATCTAACTGAGCAAGGCTTTCCTGCTGGCCATGAATCAGGCTTTCCAGAGAGGCGCACATCCCTTTAACATTAAGCACAGCACCTTCCATCACCAAAGGGCCTCTGCAGACACACACACACACACACATCCCAGCTCCCTGTCCACTGGGCTGCGCCCGCAGCAGAGGGAGAAGCAAACAGAGCCAGTCTCTCCCCCTGGGAAAGTGAAAACAAGCAAAGTAAAAACCCAGCGGATCTTTGGCTCTTCCCTTCAAACTACCCCAAAGACAGAACCCCCTTTTTGGGGCGCGATCTGAGCATCCAGCCCCTGGGAACCCTAAAAATTCCAGCCCGCAGCTGGGTCAACACCGCCTCGGAGTTCCCCTCTGCAGCCCCCCTTACAAACAGGTCTTGTCCCAGCTGCAGGGATGTTAAAGATCCTCAAATTGCTGGGATCATAAGAACAGCCCCCCCAGCCCAAAAAACAAATGTCCTTTCCTCCCAGTAAAAACAACAGAGTCCGGTGGCACCTTAAAGACTAACAGATTCAGTTGGGCATCAGCTTTTGTGGGAAAAATCCCCACTTCTGCCTCTGAAGAAGTGGGTTTTTTACCCACAAAAGCTGATGCCCAACTGAATCTGTTAGTCTTTAAGGTGCCACCGGACTCCTCATTGCTTTTGTGCATACAGACTAACACGGCTACCCCCTCTGATACTTTCCTCCCAGTATTGTGTGGCGTGCTATGGGCCAGCGGCCACGCACCACCCCCGAAGTGGCTGCTTTTGTGTGGCGGTCTGTAGTTGTGAAGCATGGTTGTAGAGGTAGGGGGACTCTTAGCAGTGCAAGAGGCTATAGAAATGTGACCGTTTTATGATGGTCTTGTTAGGAGGTAGCCACGGGTCTCATGTCATTCCTGGGACTCCCCTACACAGACAATCTGAAATCCTCCTGTAACACACAGGGAGCCGATTAAAAGGCTTGTATACATTAGTCCTTTGCAGCCTTATTATTCCACACTCCAATCAATACATAAAGGGGAACTGGTTGGCAATGACCAAAAACGGGTACCAGGTGATGTCTGTTTTATAGACTCCAAGGCCAGAAGGGACCATCATGATCACCGCAGCTGCTCTCCTGTATAACCCAGGCTGCTGGATGGTTTGCTTACATGTAATAAGTTGTTGGTTCTCAGACCAATTTCTAGTGGGGAAAAGCCCTCCACCACAGTCAGCCCTTGTTAACTGCCTTCTTCTCAGCCTCATCAGAGAGACCAAAGATGGAAGGACACACAGCTGGGGTTCCCATGCTGGCAGTTATGACCACTACCTTACCCTTCCCATATTGCTGAAACCTGGATTAGATAATGTAGCTAGCTTTTATACCATGCTTTTCATCGGGAGGTCTCAACATGCTTTACAAAAGGGGGTTAGCATCATTATCCCCATTTTGCAAATGGGGAAACTGAGGCAGAGAGTGGGGAAGTGATTTGCCCAAGGTCACCCAGCAGGTCAGTGGCAGAGTTGGGCATAGAACCCAGGTCGCCTGAGTCCCAGTCCAGAGAGAAAGGGCATCCCAGCATGGAAAAGGTTGAGAACCACTGAGTCACAGGGACTGATTCATCTCACCCCATCAA